GTGAGATTGTTCTGTACTGACTTTTCCTCTTGGCGCGATAGGCATGCGCGTGCATATCTGTGGGTGGATGATCCACCGACAACACTAAACTAAATGGAGTCACTGTATAAAATTCTCTAAAAGTAGAGTAGCTTTGATTAAATCTTGAGTCCGGAGCCTTTTGCTTGGGCGATCCTCTCAGTTACGCAGAGGGAGTTCCTTAATTATCAATTTTGAACTTCCGTTGTAAGTATCGCCCATGGAGATCACTAGAGGATGGAAGTGAGCGAAAAGGCGCAAGTACATTTTTGCAAACGCGCATAATGACAGAGCACAGTAGAAGGCCATCACCGTAGACCCGTTTTGCGATATTTAGTCCATTTGTAATTCATACAAAGGAAACTGCAGTTCCTTGGCTGAAGTACATTTTTAAAAACAACTTCCATTAGATGTTATAATCCAACGACGATCAATCTAGACAATGTATGCTGAAGGAGACACGTGTACGAAAGGGGATGATTAAGCTCCCCTTCTACCCTCACGGCCTGATTACAAAATAAAGAGTGCGCGCAACATGGCCTCCATGTGCTGTATAGAATTTCAAACACAAAGGAACAAAAGAGCCCTAACCGCTCATATAAAAGTGCCATATCATCGTTACTGTTTCATACGGGAGAAGTCACATTTCGTAAAACCAGGAGCAGTTACGTGAGACCCATTCTCTTCGATGCTTACGGGTTTCATTCGTCACTCTGTGGTGAATCAGGAATCCATGTCGCGGGGGATTCGATGACTTCCTCCCTGCAACAAATACGTGAATCACCGTGTTTTCACAAGCGTGGGTGCCGGGCCGACCAAGCCCCAGCGCCCCACTGATTTCTGTCAAACTTTCGCTCCGTGTATCATAAATAACACATGGGCCGAAGGGAGCCTAACGGTTTCTGTTCGCCTCTTAACTTGGCCACCGTCTTCAAGCACTTTTGGCAAAAAGGGAGTACATTTGCTCCGTTTCGATTCCGTCCTGTTCAAGTGGAAAATTCCACTTGAGTGGATAAATTCCTTGCAGTTCCTGCGGAGATTAATTTTCGAACACAGCAAAAAGTGCGCGAAACGCTCTTCTAAACAATTCTTCCTATCAGTCTGTTCGCATTTTCAAATTCATCATGATTAGATAAATGTTGTGTTGCAACTTAGAACAGATATTTAAGGATAAGAATATGAAAACACAATAAAGATTAAAAAGGCTTTGAAAACGTGTATGAGTAAAATTGCTGGGTAAACGACTCAAAAGGGTAAGACTGGCTGGAATAAAAAAGACGTTTACAACTTCTGATTCTAGCTTCAAAGAAAGTGGTACCAAGATAATAAACACAGTTTTTGATTGAAAGAGAACTTAGGCCTATATTTTTCCTACAAGGGTCTCAATACTCCAATATCGACCGGTATCAATGAGCGTTTACACTCTGTGCTTGTATAGATCGGGCGGTGCATACGTAAAAACAATCATATATAAGGCATTTTCACAGCTGGTGCCTTATTACGTTATTTGTTTTCCTTTCTGGTGGAACTTTCAAACCTTTACACCAAAAAATCTGTGGTATTTATTTTTAAAAGTATTTGCTTAGTAGTGTGTTATCACGCATTTATTGCTGGGCAGAAAGTTATTAGGTAATCAAGCACACGAGTTGACAGATGGCGGCAGACAAGGTACCCAGGAAAGTGGAGGCTGGCAGAGAAAACAAATGTGGATACAACCAAAATTGGATAACTGATTCCCAAACGATGAGAGCAAGTAATCCGCCTTGAGCGGAAGCACCCCACGTTAGTGTGGAGTGTTCATTTTGTTGGTAGCGACGCGGCCATAACGAATGTACTTCATGGTCCTTTGTGTGAACCAGTAGAGTGCAGTCCCCACCGTTTAAATCATTTTTTTTCAAAATGCCGTTGCTGGAAAAACTGTGCCCTCTCTGTATCCAGGTCGGAGCTCATTGTTTATGCAGGCAATAACAATCCCTTCTCCCTGCACTATGACTTTAATTCTCTTTTTAAGCTTTTTTTTAAAATCTTTTTTGTATTTTTGCGTTTCTTTTACCGTGGTATAGATTTATCAGTTAAAAAAGTGCTCTAAAAGCTCTATAGTTACCTCAACTGAAAAAGAATTATGCTATGTTACTTGAATCTTATTTCTTCCGTAGACACAAAGTTAATATCCATGCAGAGAACGTACATCCGACTTGGCCGGGGCTAAGACAAAAGAATGAGATGCAAGCGTGAAGACAGTTAAAGGCAGCAATCGGCAAACTATTTACACCGGTAATCAAGCCCGCTACTCTATAAAGGTAAAAGTGCGGAAAAACCATCCTCAAAAAGAGTGAGTCCCTCATGAATCCACTTCAAAAGAGTGAAAACCACTCTTAAAATAATGAAATCATTCTTAAAAGTGTGGAAACCACTCTCAGGTGAAACTCACTCTAAAAGGAGAGCCATACGTAAGAACAACACTCCTTTTTGAATTGCCGCTTATACGTCTTCTTGGAGTAGCGGAAAGTTCACTCTTTTGGAGTGGTTGCCACTCTTTCTAGGGTGGTTTTCAATCACCAGGGGTGGTTTTATGAGGGACTCGCTGGTTTTGAGAGTGACTTTTTCTTTGTATCGAAGAGTATAAGCCCAGTGATGCACACAGGAAGAAACACCAAGAACAGCGAATTAGATGTCACATAGAGGAGTGTAAGCGCCTGAACGTAAAGGAAAAGGCCACGGCTTAGTTTTTGATGACTTTCATAATCTTCTTGCGAATGAAACAGACACTTTGGCCTTGAAGCGACAGAAAGTGTTCTTTTCCTTAAGGTCGCAAAATGTGCACACAGTTTGTAATCACGTTTGACAAGTCGGAGCCGCGTTTCAAAGTTCACGGTCGCTTCTTGTTGTGGGACAGCCGCAAGCACAGCATGAGTCGTGCAGAAACGATCCCTCATGTGTACGTAAGATAGGTGTGTCGGAAGTGATTTCCCCCAAATCGACATGTCTTTAATGCGATGCAGTATAGCCGACGTGCTACCGAGTCCCATGATCGACAGTCAGAACAAGCCGGTGAGCCAAACGATCACGTCATCAAAATTTTGTCACCACACTTATGCCCGAGTCCCGCTCACGGGAAAATAGCTTCAATATCGGCTACAGACGGTTGACGGCTAAGCCGCGTGTTGCACATTTCCTACCGCGCGGCAGCTGCGCTGGCGTTGATGGGCACCGTTGTACCAGACGGAAATATGACTCTTCTGTCCTTGCCAAACTTTCGATGATCACTTCTTTTGATTGATTCGGAATAAAATATGTTCCTTATGCTCCGTGGTTTAAAACAGAAATAATACTCAAACCAAAAACTATACATATTCTGCGGCGTTGGAGAGGCAAACACTTCACAAAGTTTGTAGCCAGTCAAATGGCGCGATGTTTCGCCAACTCTGTGGAATCCCGTATAATAAATCATTAATGCTATACGAACTGTTTCCTTAACATTTATCATGGTTCATTGGTTTGGTTGTGCTTCAAGTCCAGTTACTGGTACTCTTGGAGTACAAAGTGTCCGAGAGCTAAGCCTCAAACACATCGTGAGCTTGTCATGCATTCTTTCGCACACTCATTGCATGCAATGCGTCGTCGCCCTCCTAGCCTGCAGGGATTGGCGCTCCGTGAGGGCATCGGTTCAAACACCTTCGAGATGCAGACCGGTAAAATAAGCTGCCATAGCCAACAGTGAAAAATACCTGAACTTCCTAAAATCGGGAAAAGTATTCACGAGTTTCTCAGGCGTTCTCGACGCACATCAAATTAAAGCTCTAGTTATGATTTTTCATTTTCTTTTCGAATTCCCATTCATTAACCGATGTCTTCTAAAGATATTTTGCCACAGAAGGCCACCCCCTAAAAAGCAGTCGTGAAGCCCCTCACCATTTTGAAAAAATCGATGCCTACACTACTCGAAAAATAGACCTTTTTCAGGCACCAACTTCTTCCAAATCTCACTGAGACGCAAGCTGGTATTCTCTTTGCCCGTCTAAACCTGTCTTTTCTACAATTCCTTAAGTTCATGGGTCACAAAATGTTCTATTTCATAGAGAATTTGAGCGCATACAAGTTGTGATTTGGCCTGCGCAAGCAGGTTTCGGTCTATTTACTGGCCTGCACTCTTCGGCTCGACTATTGGGCGCCCCTTACTGCATTAGCGCAGTTATTTTAACAATTCGATTTTGGCTGGTTGTGGTGGAGGTCAATGATGCACCTTACTCTGCTTCCTGCACTGAAATTGTGTGCAAGAAATAGCCTGTGGAAAATTTGAAATAACCTCTCCGTAATTCCAACCAGTGGAGGTTGGGGAGCTGTCCTAATCTAAAATCTCACCTGTGCGACTGGAAGGGAAGGCTAAAAACTCTGATACGCCTAGCAAAGCCATAATAAAAAGAAATCTAGAACTTGAGGAAGACCCCAATCTGTTGTAGGGAAGGGGTGGACGGTAGATAAATCTCCCAGCGTAATCAAAACCTTCCTATAAAAATATCCTGCAGCGAAGGGTGGAATATGCGCTGTCGAAATAGCCGCCATGTTGGCTGGTTATTTCGATATGCTCAAGTGGACTGTGCTTACCCCCAGGGTATATACAGATGGAAGATACTAGGGTAAACTGTCCTTAATTTGGAACAGATATCCGTGAATGCACAAAAGAGATCATCAATATAATAATGCTTGCCAGATGTTTAATATATAGTTTCAGGGCCGCTGATATACACGATTCACAGAGAACTATAACTTTCGCAGAATTTGTATTCTGTCATTTTCCGATAGATCTGTGAAGCGGAAAGCTCCCGCCCGAACAGCCAACTCGCGCCAATCACTTTGAAATCAGCATGGCGTCACAAAAGACCCCCATATCTATAAATGTCTCTGATTAGTTAGGTGTATCAAGCGACTTCCCTTGTCCACACAGGGGGACCCTTAGTTCAGCATGCCTCATGTCATCTTACTTTCGTACTGTGACCATCTTGCGATTAGGCGATGTCGTCTGTGAGCAAGCTTGATTCGTCGACGGGGTAAATCCTGTGTACATGTAAACGAAAAAAACCCTTGAAACAACAGTCCGCTCTGGATGACGTTTCCAAAATTTAATAGAGGGCCTCAATTTTATGTTTGTTCAAAATGTACTCTAAAAAGTGAATCGAGGAGAAAAGGTCAAAAAGCTGCGTTCCAAAAAGTGATAAAGCAACTAAAGTCTAGTCCTTCTGAACTTAAAAAATCAAGTACGAATTGAGTTGTAACACTCCATTCGTTTCTGTGCTGAACCGTAATGTCCTTGGTTAATCCATGATAGATCTTCCAAATAAAAAAACACACTCAGAACCTCAGCTACTAATATGTGCCATCGCCGCTAAATTCGTTTGTTCCTTTCGCTCTAAACGTATTGCAGCGAAGTGCAGTTCCCGCCAAAGGAGCCTCAGTCCTCTCTTGCTCCCGCTCGGACCTAAAGCTACCGTCATTCGATTCGGCCACAACCTATGTTCCTGTGCTGCGCCATATTTACGACCACGCATGCCCAGTTGTGTCTGTACAAATTTCGTCTACAGAGACAATTCAGCACAGTATGTCAGAAAAGGGCGGGTTGCAATGACTGCAAAACATCTGTTTTTAGACTGTGTGGACTCACACAATAATGTATGTTTCCTTCAATAACAACATTGCGAACTTTGGCAATTTGCTGAAGTCGCGTTAAAAAACAACTTGTATAGGGCCTAGTTCAAAATGTTGGTTGTAGTCCATAGTGAGAAAGTTTTTCTAAACTAAATAGATTAAAAGCTGGCATGTAAAATATTACGAGAAATATCCCAGTTTATCAAACGCTATAAAAGCATATAGAATTAATCGTAAAAATTACACTTCCAAATCATGACGAGAATATTCCTCGAGCGTGTTAAGTCATACTCCAGTTTTGTAACTTTAATAACGGATGACTCGCGGAACACTGAAACCGACTACCATACATTATGAGCGAATGGTCCTGTTTTCTTAAGCGCGTTTCAAAGGGAAAGGAAGTTATATTTGAGCATACAAGGTAAATCCAGGTAACATATGCTTTACAGGCATCAGTAGCTTCTGATTAAACCAATGTCCTCGAACAATATAGCATCATAACCTAAACGCTGTCTTATCAGGGCGTCCGTAGTTGGTTCTTATATTTGTTTACGTTGAAAATGGGTTGGTCGGTTGGAAAAAAAGGCAGAAAAATAAAACTTGCCAGATATTCTTAAGGTTTTTATTTTTTGCTCATTATTCTTCTTAGGAGAGTCCAGGCAGGGTCGGCGATATATTCGGGGGGGGTGGAACCAAAAACAATCGTTGGTCGTAAATGAGGACCACAGAATTAACTTCGGACTACCTTATAACTCACACACTGTCAGTTATATTTTTAGTCTTTTAATGCAATTGCTTACAACCTCTAACAAGCTTCATAATTTCCTTTTCCTCTTCTTTTTACGCTTGACATAAGCTCCGAGCAGCTAGTACCGCACTTTTTGGGGGATACTAGGCGGTGACAATGATGTAAGAACTAGTACAAGAACAGAAGGCACCGCGATGGGTGCACTGATATCAGCCTAAGAGAACAGGTGTCCCTGTTCCAATAATCGCAAAGGTGAGTGAAACAAAACATGCCTTGCTACGTGCCACAAAGCCTCTGTCTTTAAAAATAAATCTGAAAACGACAGCTGTAATTCCCCTAGAGCTACATAAAAGGCCATTTTCTGAAATCAGATATGTTATCATTATGTCCACGACTATAAATGTGGGGGCGGGTATGAGATCAAGTTGATGCACATCAATTTTTACTGCTTTAGCTTACAAACCTAAATCGTTGTAAGCATCGATTGTCTCGCTGTGGCATGGGCGGATCCAGAACTACATTTGTATGGGAATTTTTGAGGAGGGGATCTAAGGATTTCTCTACATGTAATCTTTATGAGCTTTCTTAGTGGTGAGACTAGGCCTAAATTTTCTACACGTTTTGGAGTAGGCCTACTCTGCTGCTAACAGAGTAGTATTTTAGCTTTCCCTTAATGCGAAGTATCCTTCTTCCTACAACACAAAATCACCCACCGGCCTCGCTCGCCTATAGCGCTTAACGCTAAAGCAATTCCCAATCCTACTTTAAAGGGCGGAGCCACGCGTTACCCCCCCCCCGCACTGCTTGTCCAGGTATATCTTCATTCGTCTTTCATCCCGCACAAGCAATCCACACGTGTAACCTGTTAGCTGTCTTGTTGCGACGACGGCAGCTTTAACCCTTGGACATGACACAACTGCCAGGGAGAGTGCAAATTGAGGTTAAGAGGAAATTAGTCATGTTATGTGAAGCTCGGATTGGGACATGGCCGGCAACGGTATATGACAGCTTGCCCCTTGCCTACGTGTAACGCGTAGCCCAGTCACTCACTTGCCTTGAAAAATCGCTCGAGTTCAGTGTTTGTCCAGGCCCACTAGGTTTTTTGGTCACAAGAAGCCATGTTGATTTTTTTGGTGGGGGTGTGCACTATCTTGCCAGCTGGTAGAGGAAATGCCGGAGCTGCACGCGATAGTACAGCATACGAAGTCTTTCATAAAATCTTTCTGCCCAAGTTAGGCAATTTCAAAGGGGGGGGGTGTGCCCTCGTGAGTGTTCAACCCATTTCTTGTTAATGGCCACTCGAAAATGAGTGCTGGCCCCTACAGAAATTCCAAGTCCGTCAACCATCCAAACTGACTTTTGGAATTTACCCCTCTGCAAACAACACTTTCTCGTGCATGCTGATCAGACCGTTTTCCTAATATGTCAAATTCATTTAATGGAGAACATGATTCGTTATCACGAGGGAGCAGCGTCAGACGCACTTCGTGGAAAGATTATTGGGGAATAGTGTCAAAGGACCCCCAACGCAAATGTCCCGTCAACCAAGCAGATTAACGACGCACGCGCCTTCATTATGCATGTGTAAATGCGCGTTTTCGCCCATGGGTATCTAAGCTGAGCACAGGGTAGTCGCGTCATGTAGAACAGGAAGTGGAACTGCGCAAGGTCTGGGCCAAAATAGCCGGGACGTAAAACGGAAATGGGGGGGGGGATGGAAGCGGTTGTTGTTCTGTTTTTGTTAAACGGAGCATCGCTTGTCGAGCGGCGTCAAGCAGCCGTCGGTTTCGCTACGGTTCGCCGACTGTGGCAAAGGATGAGAGAAAGTCTTCCAAACCACCCGTAAAATACCGTGCCTCCCATTTCCCAAATGAACATGCTCTTAAAGGGCACGTTTGGCGCCAGAGTGTTTTGTAGATTACAACGGAGTTGTCCAGAAAACGGTCAGGTCTGTTTAGAAAATGGCATGCGTTGAGCTGATCTCTGACGTAATCTTCATGTATCTTTATCACTATTGCGCTCCCTATCTTCATAAAAAAACAGTCAAGATATCAACATCGTAATTTTTGACAATTCCACTTGCCGATAGGAGTTGTCTTGTCCTTCACTGTCGCCTCTACAACAGTACAAGGCACTGACATCGATCCAATAACGTGTCATTAGTTCAGCTGCAGCCGCCAATCACTGATACAAAGACACTGTGAATAGTTGAAACGTATTCTGTTTCCCTGGCAGTGTCATTGTAAAAAGCACTGGTTATTATGATTATTAACAGCTTAAGCCATGAACGCACTGAGAATTAGAAGGCGAGTGGAAAATCTTACCGCAGTCTCATCCTTGACTCTCCTGGTCACCGTGTTTCCAGCGTGCGTTTGGCCCATGATTTCCGAGGTCCAGACGGGCGAGGTATCTCGCTAAGGTGCGCAACTCCCGTGCGCCGATTCCCTAACCCTGACTCCCGATGGCACCGTGGACTATCACTAGGCATACGCGCCAGTGCAGCAAGTCTACTTTATCCAGGCATTAAAAACCGCCGGTGAGTCACGGTGTGTCTCTCTGACTGTCAAGTTTTCAGGCTGAGTCGATGACCGGGAACAGGCAAGGGGGACCAAAGCCAAGTAAACAGGTCGCAATAAACCAAGAGGTATATTACGGGGCCTAAGTCAGTCGATACGTGCAGTAACGTCAAGTGAACAATTCACTGGAGATGAAAAAGTCAGACAAGCTACTACGTGACGAAAATGCAAAGTTACATGCGCAGTGCAAAAACCAACCAGAGTTGAAAAGAATTGTTCAACTACCTGCAGCTTGTTGCAAATTAATAACATATTTTGTCAGATAGTAGGCCTTTGGCCCAAACGATGAGAGATGTTCTCTTGATAATTTAAAATCGTCACTATTTGAAATTGGCCACACTTTTAGCTGATTAGCCCATCGAGGCTCCCATAATTAACACTGTTTGACCCACCATACATAAACAAGGAAGGGTTCCAATGTGGCTAATTTCATCCATTAGTTTGGAGGTATTTTCCAGCTCAAACACAAACCATAATTAGACCTCCCGTCACAATGGAACCTCGAACTTCTGGGAGAAACGCAGCAGTCTCAAACAACATCGAAGCAGCTGAGAATTAGTGTGCAATCAACTGCCTTTCTGATTTGTCGAAAAGAGGCAAAATATCTCATAAAATAAAGGTGTGTTTTGGCGCCGAGGAAATCCTATACTTACCTGGAGGCCGGTGCCAAATATCATGATAATCAGCTGCGTTTCCCCTGGAGTTAGGTCAACTGCTCAGGCCAGATACCCTACTCTATCATCTTTCGTGTCCTGTTGACGGAGGTGGCATTTCAAAATACGCATGGCAAAGGTCTGCAAACCCGTGGGAAATTGGCTAAGTTGGCCAATATGTTTATTTCGAGAGATATGTTGTTTTGATTTACCTATCATTTGTTCACAGTGTTATTTTTGACAGGCAGTTTGAACCGCGGAACGAGTGTTTACAAGTTTGTGATATGGGAAAATTCGTTTACGTACGACACATAATATGAGATTTCAATTTATTTGTACACATTTTTAGCAGGTCCCTTACTTCCTCGAATATTTCTCTTCTCCCATTTCTCTCCCTTGCATTGGAGTAGGAATTAAGGGGCGGTGCTACATCTACTTAAAGGGGGGGGTGTAACAAGCTGGAGAAGATGAGATTTGAAAAATAGTAATCATGGTCTTTAATTTTGAATAAGGCGAAAGATAACCTGAAATATAACACATCTCCTGGGCCTAGGCCATTATACCCTGTGCTAAATAGCCTCATCATTTTTTTGTAAAGTTCGGCACGACAGCAGCACGGCGTATAGCACGGTTTTGGCTTGGTAAGTTGTATTCTTTATGTCACGGCAAGCCCTTTAGCTCAACAGTGCTCTGAAATATGGGATTGCCCTGAAGAAGGTACTCAGTTACCGAAAGCTCGGCAATCACATATTTCAGAGCACTGATTTGATATTATATTCTCGTCGATATTCTGATCACAGTGCTACGCAGCCCTTCCATATTCCTTTAGCTCAACGGGGTATTTTGGGCATCGGTGTTCTGAACGGCAGTGGCAGGACACTGCTCTACAGTGTGTTAACTAGGGCGACTGCCGCGCTATTACTGTGCTTTTGAAATGATTTCATTCATGCGTCTTCCTGCGTCAAAGCGTACTTGACAGTCTTAATACTAAAAGTTTTTATTCATGTCAGTGTCTGGCTCTTTTCATTTCTTTTAAATTTATCACAGAAAGAAACGGAGACAGGTAACAGGTCAATACCCCCTCATGACCCTCATCTGATGCCTCCCTGCCATTTACAGAAGCCATTTCCACCCATTTACGGGGGTATAAAAAAACGCGTGGATCTGCAGTGCACTCGGATTCATCTGTAGGTCTCTACTGTCCATACAAACATAGTCCCTCCTCTCTCCAGCCCGATGAGCATTTCGATCGTAGGCCTACTTGTACAGTACTACAGCCCTTCGTGAACACATCGCCCCATTATCACCCCCACAACCCATACACAGACGCGTGAATGCAAATCATTTCGAAGTTGGGAAAATCGTTGCGGGTGGCATGTTCATAGGTTCACGTAGGGAAAGTTGTCTTCTGGGTCCCCAGTCTTCCAGGTCCCTAGCAATTACGATGACAAAGTACAGTTTCGCTTCTGCGTTGAAACCGCAATCCCCATACGGCCTGGAGCGATGGGCGTGACGAGGGAAGAGCGGCGGGTGTACATCCCATTTCTTCAACTGAATCTCGCCACAAAGCCTGGCATGGATGTGACATTGGGCAGGTGACAATTTTTGTCGTAGTCTCCATTGTGTGTACCCCGAGTAGATGGGGTCCACAGCAAAATAAATATGCCAGATTCTAAAAAGTCGAACAGCGCCCTATATTTACACCCCGACAGACTCAGGTACTAATCTTCCGAAGATGCTGCACTCCTAAAAAGGGGCAATCGTTTAAAAATGCAAACCCTAAACCTAGGGCAAACCTGACGCTGAATCAAGCGCACAACTATAAATCTACAAAGAATGGAAGAGAATTCTTACCCCTCAAGGTTTCAACAGGCTTCACGCCCTATACACAGCTCTTATGACCAGATTTATTTTGAAACTGGAAGCATGAAGAGATCGCTTTGTCTGCTCTAGGGTACTACATTGTGCTTAGTGAATGAAGGATATAGGGGGCGCACTTTACATCAACCAAAATGGAGAATCCAGTGTTCGGAAACTGGGACAGATTGGCTTGAATGATGCCCTGGACAGGGATTAAAATAATCTGTATAAAATCGAAATGGTCCCGGATCTATTGATACGCTCCGGTACTATCGGATTTCATTCGACTTGAGGCAAGTAGAATACAGTTAAAAACTGTGATGTTCCTGAGGTGTGGAAGGGGGCGTATCCAGTGCCGGTGTAACTTGATTCGAAGTAGTTTAACACGAGTTCAAGAACGTTAGTCCTGGTATTAAGAATTTGACCATTTACTCATTTCTTACTCATCTTAAGTTAAAAAAATAGGAAGGTCGTCTTAATTTCACTCGATTCAAGATAGATCAACCATGAATGGAGCAATTTCAAGTTACCAGGAGAAGTACAGATTTTTTTTTATTTCCAAAATTTTCATAAGTATTTCTGACTTGGTTCCATCCAGGCGTTGCGTTATCTTGCGTGTTTGTCGTGCGTGTATATCGTGCATCACCGTACCACGGTTCTGGCCGGTGTAGCCTCTTTCCTCCCGCCTCTGCATGAAATTGCACTTTGTCCAGGACAGTCGACCAGAGAGCTTATACGCTGTTGAAATGTCCTCCCTAAGGCAAGTGCGCAGGACCCGGACCGGGCCTTACCGGCTGGCACGGCGGTTAAGGGGAAGCCGGCCCGCTTTTAGTCAGTCCACCCGAGGGGCTAATGTCGCCCGATTTCCCCGGGGACGGAATGTCCACGTGAAGGTCGGGTTCAACTGCCCCGCAGACCGGAAATTCTTGGATGACCAATTCGGATTCATTTCCTGCCCCTGAGGGTCGGGAAATGTATTCAAGTCTACTACTTACTGAAAAAACCCACACAATTTAACCACGGTGCAACTATTACGCACAATTTACTGATGAAGTATTTTGCTTCTAAAAAATCAAGTTGGGCGGGGGGAGGGGAAGTTGATGTTCCCTGGAAGACATGTTGCCTAGTCTAATAAGACCTTCAGGTAGTTATTCCGCGACACTAAACACACACCTTCATTGTAAGAGGTAAGAGGGCGCTTTCGCCACATGTACATACCGTTATCGCAGGATAACGATTTGTGAGGTGATACCGCCCTGTACATATACATGTTTATGTACTGTACATGCACATGTACATGTACATTTACATACATACTGTACATGTACAGTATGTACAGTGCGTGAGATGCTTCGCAGTGTCATGGAACTGGAAGGTCTTGGAACCAAGACTACATGTTGCCCCATTTAAAGGAACCGAGAGGACCAGACGGTTTATAAGCGGCTCCGCATCTTTCCTCCGGGGATGGGAGAGGGGATTCTTTGGCGGATGACAAATATTGGACACTGGTCGTTTAGGGGAAAATTTCCATTCTGCTCCCCCCCCTTCAAGACTCGGGATAAACCATAAGTAAAGCTTCCTCACAGTGTCAGAGGACCAAAACCACAACAGTGATGACCTTCCACTGGACTTTAACATCCACAGTATGCAATGATTTCACCCCAGCAGATCGAAGAGTGCACCCAAGCAAACAGGCTAGAAAATCATTAATAAAATTATTCTGTATTAGAGGGTCCTGAGAGTAATGGAATTGGGGAATTGAAGAAATGTGGCACTGAACCTCTGGCCCGGACTTGGGCTTCCTATTCTGAGCAATTTGGATGCACTCAGGTCCGAAAGTGGCACTATTAAAATTAAGCAGTTTGGCAGAGGGAAGCTTTTTCAAAACGGCTACTTTTCTGGGCAGTGAAATTTCCTTCGTTTTAGGGGTGGCCTGCTTTGGGTGAGACTTTCTTAAAAATTCATCGGTCAAGCCACTAAAAAATGAAAGAAAAATGAAACAGGACATGTCGAACATGATTTTTTTGTCCGGCCTGGACACCTGTGAGAGTTATGAGTATTTTTAAAATAATTTTTATATATAAGGATTTATCACTGGTGTCTATGCAGGGTGTGAACCCCTCAGGCCTAGTGATGAGTTATAGCTACTTGCTACGGACACTTTGTATAGGTATTTTAGAAAGCAATCTGAGTAAAACTTTAAGTGGCGAAGTAATCCCTCCCCCGATTATGTTATTATGGCACACTCCGCATTTCCTGCTCGGGTTTGCCAAAATACATTTATACGATTTCCCTCAAGACTGAAGAATCTTGTGGAAGAAATCTACGGCAACATGGAGGACTGCAGTGACCTCGTTCCCGAAGGTTTGTAGAGAGGCTGCCGCAAATCGTATGCCTTGGAACCCAATTGCAATCTACAGGCAGAATGTCTTCTAACAATGTCGTCCCATGCATGCGTTCGTTTGTACCAGATCTCTCGGTTTAAATCTGCCAGTACCTCGTGGGAGG